CCGGCGGGGGGGGGGGGGAGGGCCCTGCCGGCCCAGCGTTCACATTCAACCCGGGTTTAATGCGTTGCACAGGCGCGAGGGGAGGGGGGCAAATCCCAGGCTCGGCCTCTCGCCCGGCTGTCTGGCTCGGGCCGGTGTCCCACCTCCCTAGGGGGGAGGGTCGGTGCTTTGCCCCCAGTCTCCCCTCTGCACCGTCCCGCTCGCGCCCCTTCTCCTGCCACTTCCCACTTTTTGCTCCCCAGCCCTGGTTTGACCCCGTTCTTCCCCGCCGCCCCGCTGAGCAGCGCCTCCCTCCCCCGGCCTCCCCCTGGGCCCCGCCCGCGGGGTGATCCTGGGGGACGAAGCCCACCGCTGGGCTGGCGGGTTCCGAAATGGGACGTGGGCGCGTGCCTGGGCCCGCAACAAGACCCTGCTGCACCGCGTTCGGGGCCGGGGGGAGACTCAGCGCACGGGCCCCGCGCGGCTTTAATCGTGGTCCGGGGCAGCTCTGCGGGCCGGCTCGGAACGCGCTCCCGGGGCCGGGAAGTCAGGGTGGGGCTTTCGGGAAAGCCAATGGCGCTCTCTGGCGGGGAGCACAGGCCGGTGGCGCGGCTCCTAGGCAGCCGCTCACCCCCGCCGTTCCCAGCCTGCGCTCCTTGCAGCCCTCGCTGGTGGTCCGCAGAGAGCTGGCGGGTGACTTGAGGCTGGCGCCTCCGCTGATTTCCAGCTGCTAAATTGCATTAAAAGAAGCTAAAAATACATGACATACTTTGCTGATGTGATTTTTCCATGTGAGCAATTGCTGGAGCTGCTGGAGCGATGGGATACAGCAGGGAAGGGGAAGGGATATGAGGGACCGGGGTGGTGGAGGTGAGGGATGGCATGGCTGGGCAGGTAATGGCAAATAGGATTGGGGCAAGGGATTCAAGAGCCAGCAACAGAGTCTGGGAGAGGGGGAGCTAGAAAGTGGATCCAAGCAGTGGATAGGATGTGGAAAGGGGGGCAATTTTTATGGGTGGGCTGGATAAAGCCTTACTTAGATTCAGAAGGCATGGACAAGTAGGGGAACTAAGTATTCTACATGCCCATATGGCCCCCCTCACCATAGTGTGTCAGCACCCCACAATCTTTCATGTATTATCCTGTGAAGTTGGGAAGTACCACTATCACTGTTTTGGAAGGGGAACTGAAGCACAGAGAGTCTTTGGGTATGTCTACACTGCAAAAAATCCCCACAACAGCGAATCTCAGGACCCTGGTCAACTGACTTAGGTTTGCTATGGGACTAAAATAATGTCAGGACATTTCCACCAGAGGAGGAGCCCTGGCTCTGAGACCCTCCACCTTTGTTCAGGTTTCAAGAGCCCATGCTCCAGGGCAAACAGCAATCTCTGTACTGCTATTTTTAGCCCCTTAGCACCAATCCCATGACCCAAATCAGTTGGTTTGGGCTCTGTGAGACCTGTTGCTTCAGGGTTTGGGATTTTTTGAAAAGTGTAGACATACCCTATATGACTTGTCCAAAATCACACAGGAAGTTTGTGGCACAGCAGGGCATTTACCTGTCTCCCAAATCCTAGGCTAGCAACCTGCCCACAGAATTATTCTTCTCTGTGCTTAGCTCTTTTATAGCTTTTCATCCCAAGATCTCAAAGTCTTTTTACATAGCAGGTCAGTGCCATTAAAAGTAATTCTTGAAGACTCGGCCTACCCCTTCCTACCTGTGGCTCATGAAGCCAGACACAGGCAGCCTGGATCACAGCAAGGAGCAGTTCAACAACAGGCTGAGAAAGTGCAGAATGGTGCTAGAATATGCTTTTGGACTTTTAAAGGGAAGGTTTTGAAGTTTTTTACTAGGTTAGATCTCAGCAAAAGCAACATTCCCATTGTTATAGCAGCCTGCTGTGTGCTCCATAATACCTGTGAAAGTAAGGAGGAAAGCTTTATGCCAGGGTGGGGGCCTGAGGGGCCTGACACTAGGGAAATAAGGAGCATGCATTGTGTATCGGAGAAGCTTTGAAAAACAGCTTTGTGAATGGCCAGACAATGATATGACAGTCATGTGCATTGCTCTTAAGTGTGCTTGCCTGTAAATCCTGTAACCTCTCTTCCAGGCAACAAAAGCAATAAAGATACTGTTGTTGAGACATAATGTGTTTTTATTTAGTGAACACAAGGAAGAAGGGACAGAAACGGAGTTCAGGGCAGGAGCTTGGGCACGGTGTGTGAGACATGGGAAAGCAGCATATTACAAACCCCCTTGGTGGTATAGATTCAGTGTTTAGAAAATCTACTTAATGTAGTTAAGTTCAACCTAAACTTCTAGGCTACGTCTACACTAACCACCCACTCTTGTGCAAGAAGATTTACAGTACGGCATGGTAAGAGAGGGCTTCTTGCGCAAGAGCTACGCTCTTTTTTTACAAGTGTAAGCCTTCTTGCACAACAGCGCTTGTGCAAGAGGGCAGTATGGATGCACGGCAGGGGTTTCTTGTGCAAGAAAGCCCTATAGCCAAAATGGCCATCAGAGCTTCCTTGCACAAGAGAGTGTCCACACTGCCATGGATGCTCTTGCGCAAAAGCACATCTCACACATGGCAGTGTGGACATGTTCTTGCACAATACTTCTTGCACAAGAACCTACCAGTGTAGACATAGCCCTAGTGTAGACCAGGCCTAAGGTTAAAGGAATGGTGAAGCAGTATTGGGCTAAAAGGGCCCTACCCCTGAACAGCTCTCGGAGATGCTCCATATGGCGGACTTACTTAAAGAGAGCTCTGACAGTCAAGTGAGGATGACAGAAAGTGACAGACTGCCCGCAAGAAGACAAATAGGCTGTATGTGCTGAGGCAGAATCAGCCACTGGGGGAAGAGCCAGCCTTGTAAGGCTTGGCTGGTAGACTGCACCTTAACCCCCCACATCTCTTCCTGATTGGGGGAGCAACTGGTCTCTGACAATAACAGTAACGTTATTTCGGAATAACATCTCAGAAGAGTGCATCTACACTGCAAGACATTATTTTGAAATAATGTCGAGCTGGAGGACTTCTTACTCTGACTCATGGTAATCCCCATTTCACAAGGAGTAAGGGAAGTCAAAGGGAGAGTGTTCTTCCTTCAACTTCCTACTGTGTAGACAGCACCAAGAGCTGAATTAAGCTATTTTGACTTCAGCTATGCAATTGACTTAGCTGAAGTTGCGTAACTTAATGTGAGTTTTGCCCTGCTGTGTAGATGTACCCAGAGAGAGAGAGAGATGGGAAATCTCCAGATGAGATTCTAATTACTGAGCTTTACAAACTTAAGTTGCAGCTGCAAGACACAGCTTAGTTTTAAGTAGGAAAATGAGACTTGTGATCTACACGCTGGAACCAGACAACTCAAGCATTTACTTTAGTCAGAAAGGCAAGCTAAAATTCAATTTGCTAGTCAAGACAGAACAGGCTTTGTAGCAGAATAAACTATAATGTGAGTATCTGCTGCTGCTGCAAAACACAACCTGATGTTTTGGAGGGAGGTGACTTCTCTCTAATGCTTGCAATTACACACTTAGTTGCCACTGCCAGAAGCAGGCAGTTTAATCTGTAAATAGTCCTTGACTCTCACACTATTTAAAACACATTTTTATTAAAAAACGACATACACAGAGCCTTGGTGCTTGTTAAAAACCAACAGCATTACTTAACAGAAAGTACTACTGAAGGCCATAGTTTGCATGATACAAAAGGTGTATGCTGAGGACTATGGAAAAACTTAGACATACACACATTTTCCAGAATTTTTGGAAAAACAAATAGCCTTGGCTCTCCTGTCACAAGGAGTCAACATTTTGAATCATTTGCAGGAAGCATGAGAAGCTTGCTGACAAGGGCATGCCTCCTGTATGTTAGTACAGAATTGATTTTTAGGAGCCTCTTTAAAGAAGAGGGATTGGAATTGCTCATTTATGAGCATAAATTTCTATCTACTTAGTATTAGTGAAACCTGGTGGGAAGATTCACATGATCAGAATGTTAAAATCAATAAGCAGAAGAGAAAGTGTGTAAAAAACTCTATGTAAAAAATTGACAACCTGTTTCTGAGTCATTGACAACTTGGAAGCAAATGATATTGAATGCTTATGGACCCAATGTCCTAACAGATAAAACCAAAATAGGGTACTAGTTGGTGTAGGGATGACCCATACTTGCTCATCGTGGAGAGGGGCACAATTAAAGGTTCGGCCACCCCCGGAACAGCTCAAGTCACACCCCTCCCCAGGCAGGCAAACTCCTCTTCCCCTCAGTCTCCCTTCCCAGAAAGCAGAGTCCCTACCCTACAGTTCCCAGCTGTTGCACTTGCTTTCGCCTCTGTGTTAACGTTGACTACAAACCACCAAATTACACTAGAGATGAGGATGACCAGCTCTTGAAGCATCTATCTATAATGTGTAGGAGGGAAAAGCTGTGTTAGGTTGAAGTCACTCAAGCTGCTGTTATATGCTAGACACCTAGATGTCTTATGCTGCCATTACTAAAACATGCTCCAAATTTCTAAATATTACAGATAACAAATTCTTAACTAAAGAAAACATGGTCTCCGATAGAGGATTATTCTATATTAGACCTCACCTTGTGAGATAAAGAGGAACTGATCACAGAACTAAATATTAGTGGGTACAAGTGATCATAACTTCATCACTTTTGTTATGTGCAAACAAGAATAAAGTACAAACTAGTAATAGATGTATTTGTGCTTTAAAATGCCCAATTTCTCAAAACTGAAAAAGTCAAATCAATGGGAAAAGTTTAAACAGAAAAAATATGAATGATAATTGTGAACTGTTTAAGAATATTTTACTGCATGCTCCAAAAGTCCCAATCACACAGTCAAGAAGTAAGGCTACACTGATTAACAGTCTGGGTTGGAGAAAAGAGAATTTGATAATGATTAATATAAATTAGAAGCTAGAAATTATAGAAAATTGAAGAGGAAGCAAATGCGC